GACATGCGTGAATTGGTGGCAACGATGTAGTCGATGTAGTGTGTGCCTTTTGCTACTCTATTAAGTCATAATGGGAAAAATGAAACAATTAGGCCGGTGACACACTGTCTGCGTGGCGTAAGCGTCTCAGCTGTGTAGCGTGTCCGTTTTTATTTCAGCTCTCATGTTAACAGGTTAGAGGTTGCAGACTGCCTGCGTGACGCGCGGAAAACGTGTGCATGCAAGAAATAGAACCGATGCTTATTTTTCACGCGACACGCAAGTGTGTTGGAAGCGTTTCCAGACAAAATAGAATAGGAAAAGATGTTTATAATGTTATTTTGTACACAAATACATATTAATTACGTTTTGATGGTTGAAACTCTAGGTTTGGACATATTCAGATGTAAATATAATCTAATAATAAATAATGATCAATTTTTTAATATTTCACATAATAAATAATGATCAATTTTTAAGTATTTCACATGTCAATACAGAAGGAAATATTCTGTAGTCTATTTTGCCGTCAATACTGCTGACAGTGTCTTTATCAGTAGGTTTTATATTTATGCTTAACATGAAGTATAGGGCTTCCACAATACGTCCTCCCTATATGTCACCTAGCAGCAGCAGCGCCACTTCAGACACGTTTCTGGTGTGCAGATACAGAAAACGTGACGCAACCGCCACGCAGCTGACACTCAACAGAAACGCCATGTTAGAGCATTAGTCATTAGAGCAGCTTTGTTTCAATAAAAGATGTTTTTGGCCTAACAGGGAAGTTTTGAAACTTACAGCATAACGATTTCTTACGTCAAAAGATCAAGGAAATGTTGATTTATTAATTCATGATCCCTTTAATGCAAACTGACAAATAGCATGCAAAAACCGAAACGAATTTTCATGGAAAACATTTTTGTTGGTGTGAACAGGCCTTGGTATGTGGAATATGTGTTTAAGTGGAAAAGGTCATTTTTATTAAGTTTAGATGATTTTTGAGTCTAAGTGGAGTTATCTCAGAATCAGCGGTCATTAGGAGGTCAGATATGTAAATAAAAAACGGTCAATAACAATGGAGTGTTGTAGCATTCGCAGTCAACAGGGGGAGCCGTGCTGTAAAAAGCATTCAAATGAAGGCTGTGTGCACTGAACCCCACTAAAACAAACTAAACCACTCGTGGTGTGGTCATGGGAAACCACAGCATAAACTCAAAGGGAGGAACTCATGCAACACAGTGAAAATGAAAGTAGGGCAAGGCTGAAAACATGTCCTTGGATTAAAGAAGAATTCCTCTTCTTTACATGCGTGTTTTTGTTGTTAAGAAAACAAAGTTATCTATCCTCTGGGCCTATCCATGTCTGCTGCTAACATGTAATGGGAAACAGACAGGACGATATAGCAGAGGACTGGGAGGTCAACGGATATGTGGATCCCTTCAATAGTTCAACATATGCAAGGCCTCTATTTACAAAACACACAAGACAAACTTTTCAAAATATGTCTACAATTAGAGGAGGTATAACATGCAGTGCTAACCACTGTATTACATACTTCTTATTAAATAACCTTCACTGTTACGTTACAAGGGAAAAATGTAATCATACAATCTCTGTATGGAGAGAGCTTGAGCTCAAGTCTCTATGGAGACAGAATGGTGGAATGTCTTGTTTAAGTTCCTCATCCAATCAAATGTGACCACCAGACAAAAAAGCTCTGTAATATGCCTCGGTGTTACAAAGCTCTCATTGTTCACAGAAACACCAGGATAAGACCAAGTAATCACAGAGAGAATATAACATGTAAAGAAAAAAATGTGGCTTTGAAACTGAATGAAAGATTTTGCAGTACAGGTATTGCCACATGCTGTTGTAACCGTAGTGGAATGAGTATTTCCTCTATGAAGTTGGGTTTTCAAAAAAATAGAGACATGATCATGAGGGTAAACATGTGACTTCAGTTAAGCACTGCAAGTTTTGGCACACTGACAACCAAGAAGAAAAATAGAAATAAAAGAAAACAAATCAGCATTCATTTGGTCTGTTTGAGAAAAGTTTTTAGGTGCTCTTAAAAAGAAAGTACACTATAACGACATGAAGGTCACAGAACGTGGGAACATGCAGGCTCTGTTCTAAAACCTTGCGGTCTGCCTTTGCAGATGGCATTTTAAAACATCAATCGGTTCACTCCGAGTAGAATCAATATTTTAACGTTTTTGTTTTTGCGTTTCTCATTGAACACTACCGTTCGGAAAACGGTATGATTAAAAAAATATATTTGATATACTGCCCGATATATTTGGGCATCTTATGATCCTATCTTTCTCATCTCATGCGGTTCCCTTTTCATATAATCAACATAGATTAAATTATTTATAAAAAATAATGTTATTTAAACATAAATGTATAAATGTATATTTAAGTTTTTGAAGCTATATTTAACTGTCACAGAGCTCTGCTTTGCTTACATGCTCTGGTGCGAAGCCTATACATGCATGTGTGCGTGCATGTGGGGGATGGGTAGCCTGACTTCGTCATACTCATATTCTAGAGAGAATAGGAGTCTGAAACTCCTCCGTTGGGCTTTGATTATGAGACGTGTCGTAACTGAACCAGGAAAAAAAAAAACCCTCTGCACTCAATTGGATAGTCGGTTAGACCTATAACCAATCAGAGCAACGCAGTAAGTCAACTCCTTAGCATAGCCCAGTTTTCAAATACAGAACGTAGCCTAATTTTATTTATTTTAGAAGTTAAATAACGAGTGTTGCTTCTTTTACTTACTTCTCCATGAGTGCCACCAAAGGAGAAACCACAACGACCACAGGCTTTTCATTACATCCCATCTTCTTAACGACCGTCAGAGCCAGCTGATAAGTTACACTTCTGCCGAATCATGTGGGGAGGACGCCAACATTATCTTTCCGATTGACAAATGCCTTGATTGCAGTTTTCTGTTTGTCTATTAAAATGAATGCGCTGTCGTTTTATTTTACAACAGACGCGACAGCGGAATCTATACATCTCAATTCTCCAGCTGCAGTCATCTTTGACAAGCGCTCTTTGATATCATGATGATTACGTCCCTGCAGATCATCTGTCCATCATCGTATAAAGCCCGTCCTGGCAATTTGATTGGCCCGATCATTTTTTGACTGATCATAATTACTCCTCAATGGATCGAGTCCAGACCGAACTTCCTGACCAAAAAATGTTGTGGGCGGAGTTCGGGCTGGCATCCAGACTAGGGGATGGGTGTAATTTTCAACTAATATTCTAATAATACCCAGCGATCTTCAAAAACTATATTTCAAATAAACGTTTCAGTTCAGAACGATTAAAAATGATTTTGTTTTCCTGTTTGTTCCTGTTAAAATTTTGTTGGTTACTGGTTTTCATACCTTGAACCGGTTCAGAGCCTTGGAAAAAAGACAATCCCACATTCTTCTCAGATGAGCTCAGAGGACAACATTTTTTATTTTTTTTTATTTTATAATGAGAAGACGTGTTAAGCTTAGGAGTTCATCAAAGTCAGATTTTTTTTTAAGTCGACATTAATGTGATTAAAGTCGAGTCAACCTAACCCTGAAACTCAAGGCGGGTTGCAATCTGCACAGATGTGCGCGCTACTGTCTGCATGCGAGTATGTTACAATGCAGCAGAGCATTAGTTTAGAACGGCGATTAACTTATGTTTACAGTAAGCCGTTTAAAATGTAAATTCACCCGATCAGTTTTGAGCATCCAGATGGTATAAAGCATCAAACGTATGGTGGAGCGCTGACAGACTATGATTTTATGGTAATTTTAGCTGTTGGAAACTACGTGTAAAACTTCAAAGTTTTCATATCCTGTTGCACCCTCTATAGGCCATGTTCAGCGACTAGTCGACGTAAAGCTTAAAGTCCCTGTAAAGGTAATTCAACAAAAAAATTCTAAACACATTATAAATGTTACAAATGTATTGCTAAAACATATTACAAAGTCTGTGAACTGTGAAGTTCTGAAATACGGAGTTAGACCGTTAAACAGTTTTTCACCTTTGCTATTTTACGGATTTTTTGGGCGGGGCTAAAACAGGGCTCGATGACGCACTGGAGCCCAAGAGCTCGTGGACACGTCCCAACTTGATGAAGCACGTTGGCTGATCCATAGACAGGGGCTGATGTCCCCCCTAACACTACAGCACATTTGCAGATTTGCACATTTTTGAGTACAGAGATAACTGCTGATTTTTTCAAGATTATGATAGCTTATTTTATGTACTTGCCGGCTTTTTTTATCATTCAAATTTGGCTGGGTGGCTAATATCACATTTTTCTGTGGTATGACAGACTCAGAAGACACTTAATTTTGACTTTACAGTGACTTTAAACACCATGGCAGAGCATTTAAGTCAACTAGTCTTTGCAACCTCTAGAAAAGCTATGATATAAAGACCTATTATATGTTAAAAGTTCAAAGAGGATGTGAACAGCTTCGAGTAGAACCATAAGGTAATTACGACACGAGTAGCATGTATGACATGCCAATTTAAAACTCTATTGAAATCAACTGTAAGTCAAGTTTCCCATGTACATTGCACTAGTCACTCACTGTTTCGATTAGGTTACTGCCCACTGCCTATGACAGCAGTATAAAGCAAGATATCTCACTGGACTTTGAAACAGAGCCATTGATTTTTCTACATAACAGATAAAATTAATTCACAGCATAAAGAGGTGAGTTTTTCCCCCAAATAGATTGTTTAAAAAAAAAAAAAAAAAACAGCAGTAAATTAACTAAATCTCTGATTGACCGAACAACAGTTCATCATGTTACGCACAAATCGGTGACCTTCAGTCTGATGAGAGATTGAGTAAGAGTAACATGTTCATTCCTGAGGGGGGTCAAATTTAGGGACCAGAAAAAGCAGCAATGGAATGAAAGGAAATTATGATAAAAGGGTATGGCTCTGAAATCAGTCTGGCAAACCTGAAAGAGTCATTTGGAGCTGAGGTTAGGTGAGGTAAGGTGGTTTACCTGTGCCACACCTGTGACAGTAATAGCTACCCCCTCCGCTGTCTCTACATCCTCACACTTGGGTTGCAGGGTCATAATCTCAAGGGTTATCCTGTGGAAAACGCAAAAAAGGAAACAAAACAAAAAAGTTGGCTATGAACTACGGGAAGAATGTCGAGCGGTGTGAAAATAGGAAGAACGTGGGGTAAAGAAAGACTTGAAGGTAGACAACACAAAATGAATCTGCAGGGTGAAAATACGAAGACACAACCACTTGGTCAGCACAAATCAGGCGTTTTGACCATGGGCTGTAATGGAACTGTCTGGATTCAGATTCCCAGCAACTCAAAGATTATTTCCCGACCCACAATATTCACAAAAGCCCATCTGATCTGTCCATCGTCATCCATTACAGACCCAACAGTCAGAACATGCTGACGTGAGCCATTAGTTACATGAGCCATGAGTGCGCTGCATAGCCAAACATCAGACAAGGATAGTGAGAGATGACTGGCTCTCCTACACTGCAGAGGAAGACCAACACAAGAGTGTGGAAGAGAGCATGAGAGCATGTGTATGTGTGTGATGCAGGAAATGGAACCAGGCCAATGTCCTTCATACCCAGAGCACCTAGAATATTTCTCATTGTCTCATTTGGTTTGCTTGTTTCATTCAGTGCGATTACCTGAGCGACCCCTGTCACCTCCAAGGGGACACCCTCCGAAGTTTCGATATTCTCACAGCGACAGAGGATGGTCATTATCTCCAGAGAGAGTCTACGTGGGAAGATGGGGAAAGGGGAGGGGAGGAGGAAGGGGAGGCAGGACAGCACAATATTGTCAGTGTGTTAACATATGTGAAAGGGGGAGGAGAGAGGTCAGGGTTCAAGGTTAGGGAGGATGGGCTCTGGTGTTGATTGCAGTTGAATCCAGACCATCAGGGAGCCACTATCTGCTGCAGATGGAGAGATCTTCTGTATCATGTCATTTATCTTTGAAATCTCATCATTGAATCTGAATTAGGGCTGGATGATTACCCGAAAAGTAATCGAAACCGAAACACAGAGCCTATAACCACCGGCGTAATTTTTTCACGTCGGTTATTTCGTTTTTTTTTTAAATCCTATTAAAATTTACAGCCACTGTGTGTTAACGTACTTTCCCCTTAAAACATATTACCGCGTGTGTGTAGTCATGTGACTCCGCCCCGTCCAGTCTGACTCTCAAACACAGAGTCAACTCAGCAACAGGAGCCACTAGTACCAAAGAAGCACGCATTGTCCGTCGTTTGGACGCATTTTGGCTTCAATAAAGCCGACTCCGAACAAACTCAAGTCAAATGCAAACACTAATTTATACATAGTCTTTCAGACTATAGCCTAATCGGGGCAAAATAATTCCTAAAAAAAAAAAACCTCTTACTATAAAAACCTTAAAATGTAAATTCATACACAAAGCGTGAACCACCACAATGATTCAATTTTAATCACCGAAGCTGCAGGTTTACATGTGAAGGGTTCAGATGCAAAAGCCTCTAAATGTCATTAGGGCCCAAGCCCTGAAAGGGCGAAGGCCCTATTGTTTTCCTTCCGATTATTTTTTTTTTTTTCTTTTATTTTTCTAACGACTATTCGGGCACTTTTGGGGCCCTTAACATGCTCGAAAACTCTTGAAACTTTGCACACGGGTCAGAACCCGCGGCCATCAGAGCCGGGCTGAAGCTGGTACCTGGGCGTGGCAGGGCGGCTCGTCAGCGCCCCCTGGAACGGGGTCCGAACACTTGGTCCATAACTCAAACATGCTTGTATGTAATAATATGAAACTCGGTACACATGTTGCTCTCATCGTTTCATCTATACCTCACACTCTTACTTTTTACCCCAGCCCAACAGGAAGTCGGCTATTGAGGTTTGTTTGTAAAACGCTCGCAATGGAATGTTAAATACTCCTCCTAGAGCTTTGATCCAAGTTCGACGAAACTCAGTCAGCGTGAAGTCAAGACATTGAGGATGAAAGTTTGCGAGGGGATTTTTGATATCTCGAACGGTTTGTCCGTGGCGAGGAAACGAAACTATGGCGAGAAATGTGAAACAGGAAGTGTGTTATAACTTCAGCATACATTAACTGATCTTGATGAAACTTCAGCAGTGTATTCGCTGTAAGAGGACGATCACATGGATGTGACTATTGTGAGTCAAAGTTATAGTGCCACCAACTGGCAGCAGGAAGTGTGTCACTTTCAAAATGCTTTGAAATCACCCTTTTATTTTTACCCGATTTGCTTCAAACTTCATCTGAATAATGTAAACATACGATAGATGTAGACCTGTGAATGGATTCTTGATATCTTTTAAACTGTTGCCGTGGCAACGCATCAAACTTTACCATTCTTATAGGATGCTTTTGAGACCCTTAGCATGCTTCAAATTGCATGAAACTCGACAGACACATCACATTTATTAGCCAGTAGACACGTGCAAAGTTTCAGAAACGGGCGTGGTGAGGGCTCAGTAGCGCCACCTTTTGACAAAAGTGGGGTTGTTAGTTTTATCTACAGTTACAAAAATCGGTATGTATATTGTACTCCTCGAGCCGGACAACTTTCTAATTGACACTCATTAGCTAGGACCCACAGAAAGTCAGATATGTTTGTTTGAATGTAGAGAAAATCTCAGAATTTTGCCAGTGTCTCAGTGTCCCTTGTGTGAGTGAGAGGAGGGGCGCCTGTCAGGTTAATTTTAACCCTTTATTTGCTGTGTGCGACTTCTCTGGCATTTTCGGGGGCCTTAACATCCTCGAAAACTCTTGAAACTTTGCACACGGGTCAGAACCCATGGCCATCAGGGCCGGGCTGAAGCTGGTAACCGGGCGTGGCAGGGCGGCTCGACAGCGCCCCCTGGACTGGGATTCGAACATTTGTCCATAAATCAAACACACTTGCATGAATTAATATGAAACTTGGTACAATTATAGATCACATCAGGCCAAACAACTTTCGTGCTCTAAGTTTTATGACAGTTCAAATGGAAGTTATTTATGAATTATGAATTATGGGTTGTTTGAATAATTGTCCTAGGAGAATACATCAAATCACAATGCATGTGTTTACCAATCACAACCAAACTCGGTGTGCATGAAGTCAAGACATTGAGGATGCTCAATTCCGGACGGATTTTTGATATCTCGAACGGTCTGGCCGTGGCGAGGAAATGAATTTTATGACTAAAAAAGGACACATAAAGTGTGTTATAACTTTGCTCATTTACCTATAGTTACAAAACTTACCACGTATATTGTTCTCGTCAAGCCGATCAACTTTTCCAATTTAAAAGTCATTCGCTCTGAGCAACAGAAAGTCAGATATTGTAGTTTGAATGGATTTATTTCCCCTGCGATTCTCTCTCTCTCTCTCTCTCTCTCTCTCTCTCTCTCTCTCTCTCTCTCTCTGTGTGTGTGTGTGTGTGTGTGTGTGTGGGGAGGGGAGGGCTGTTGTCTGTGTTTATGTGTGTGTGTGTGGCTGGCTGTGATTTTTCCTTCAAGTCCTTGTCTCTAAGTCCTTGTCTTTTTGCATAACGATTTTGCATAACAATATTTTCAAATGACAAAATAGGCATATAACCCCCATCTTTTAAATGTATAGATTGCTTTAAATAAAAGTAAGATTGTATTTGTAATTGAAGTTGAATGAATTTAAAATTCATGTGCTATATTTCATTCAATATATTTGAAGAGTTCAGATGCAAAAGCCTCTAAATGCCATTTGAAATTTTCTTCTTTAATGATGATTTTTATCAAGCTTGTATATTTAAGTTCAGTGATTTCACTTAAATGGCAATGATAATTACCTATTAATTGTTATTTAAGTGAAATTACTGAACTTAAATATACAAGTTTGATAAAAAATCATCATTAAAGAAGAACATTTCAAATGGCATTTAGAGGCTTTTGCATCTGAACTCTTCATTTGTTTTCCTTAAGATTTTAAAACACTAACTTCATTCTTATCTGAATTACAAATATGTGTTTCTGTATAAAATAATACTCTGACTAAAAACACATTTGATGTTTTTTTTTGGTATTTTTATTTACATGTATTTATGTGTGTGTGTGTGTGTGTGTGTGTGTATAAAGTGCAGGGTTTTTTTAGATAAAGTAGAATTTCTATAACTATGTGTTGAACTAATAAATCACTCTTGTGTGTGTTAAACACAATCTACTTAATACAGACAACTTCATTATAAAGATAAATAACAAATCCAAAAAATATATGATTATAATCTATGACAAAAAAAGCCATTACAAACTATATTATTGGAAAATACACATTGCTCTTTGTATTGTTGTAAAATATTCATGAAAAACAAGATAACAAAAATCAAAAAGATAAATTATTTTAGATATAGCCATGTTTTAAATGTATAGCAGAGATGTTAATTGAGGCAGCAACATACAAACTTTCTAGAACAACATGGACCTGGATAGCTGGTTTTTATGGAGGACAGTGAAGAGGAAGAGGGTGCAAATCAAACAGCTCATTCTCAGACCACACAGCAAACAGCTTAAGTTTTTAGTGCTTTGTTTGAGGTTTTTAGTGCTCTGTCCTATCTATTATCAACATATAATAGATGGAACAGAACAAGAAAGGCAATTAATAATCTGTCATTGCGTCACTGCATTATGATATGAAAGGCTCAGTACAGTGTGGCACAAAACGCTTATGCGCATCCCGAGTGGAGAATGATGCGCTTAAAGCCACATGGAGTTACAGCGCACAGCGCATCGAGTCCGCATTGATGCAAGCTCTACAATACACTTCTTTTTGATAGTCAAAGCGGGGGTTACGTTTTTACACGTCGTACAGAAAAACCCTAAAGGCACCAAGGTGGCGGTGCCACCGGCTTTTTATTAAATATAAATATAGCTGTGAGCAGCGATAAAGGGCCAAAGCCGGCGGTACCACCCTCCCGGTGCCTTTGGGTAACTAAAGGCATCGGGGTTGCGGTGCCACCGGCTTGGGCCCGCAATCGCTGCTCGCAGCTATATTTTGAAATTTTCTTCTTTAATGATGATTATCAAACTTGTATGTTTAAGTTCAGTAATTTCACCTAAATAACAATTAATAGGTAATTATCATTGCAATTTAAGTGAAATTACTGAACTTAAATATACAAGTTTGATAAAAAATCATCATTAAAGAAGAAAATTTCAAATGGTATTTAGAGGCTTTTGCATCTGAACTCTTCATGTTTACCATAACTGAGTCCTGACAAGCTAACTGACTGCGATGGAAAGAAGGTACCAGGTGGCATACTATTCTAGTGGACTGAGGCTAATATAGATCACCCCTAATATAACCCAAAACCATTTAACACGGGACAGTTCTCACTGTAAGAGACCATAGTCGAAGATTCATCTACAAAGTTAATGTACCAATATAGTTCACAGTGTTCATGTGCAGCGAGTGTGGACCTCTCCTCAATGACCTATTTCTGTGTACACTTCAAACCAATTTTTTCAGCTGTTTTTGTCTCTTTGAAAAACTGTAGCTCTTTAATTGGATTAAAATGAAACAGGGCGTGTCTGAATGGGTAAAGTGGACAGGCATATGCACTAGGATCCCTCAACTGAATGTTTATTTCAGCCAATTTGATGCAGCAAGCCCTACATCTCTCTCAAGCTTTTAAAATTAGATCAATATAGCTTTCAGAGCTGCCAGCAAACTAGATTACTCCTTTCTTCATTAGGAAAGGAGGAGAGTAAGAGATATCCCACCCAGCCAAGCTATGCACTCAACTCAACAACAGCTGTGACCACTAAATACAGGACCCCTTTATAAATACACATTGTTACATTCTTTTTCTGACACTGTTCCACTGTTTACTCTATTATAAAAAATGATGAAATATAAATCTTCCTTTTAGCTGCAACATTTAAAAATCACAGCTGCATTTCCACGTTCATGTGTCTTCAGACTCGTCTCATCCCACTTTTATAGATAACCAATTTCCCCGCCTGTGTTCCCGCCCGTTTTGGTAAATCAAATAAGTTAGCGAAGTAGCGGTCTCTTTAGCTTGACACGATACTTTACCATACATCATATTCCAATTTAATGTACATCAGGATAGCATTTGAAGTAATAAATATATTAAATGAAGTTCCAAACATAGGTTCGGGAGGAGCCTAAACATTCAGTCCTATCAATCATCATTACGAGTGTACTATATAAGCAACAGACACCACGTCATCCCACTGACAAATTCTTCCGGCAGCCCTCCTCCTCCAGTAAATTATCTCTATTCTCTTAGGTGCAATTCCATCATAGGGGGGTTTTAACTCGGAGCTCAAGCCAAGCCTCAGGTTCGAGCCTCCTCCAAGGACAGCAAGCCAAGTTAGTTTACTATTGGGCAGGCGAACTACTAAATGTAGATTTCAATCTAGATGCAGACCGGAAATGTGATAAGTCTTGTGATCTGTATTTCCACAGAGTTGATATGGCTTAATAATCTTATGATCCCCAGCAGAGAGATACCAGAAACAGATCAGACGATCTGACACACACGGGTGAGTCCAGCGTGTAAAGGCAGGTTAGCTCGGCAAACACTTAAAAGAAATCAACAGGAGAGGAATGGTCAGGCTGGTTATTACAGATTGCACATGCATAATCTCAAAGTCAATAACGATTAAAAGATGGAACAAAAAAAATGGAAACATTCCAAAATGATAGTTTTCTGACATTTCTTTCATACATATGATGTGTGTTGTCCTCTTGCTAATGTTCTGATAGCTACAAGCACTGTGTATATTACACAATAAACAAAGCTCATGCTGAAAGACATATATGGGCTTTTCAGACTGTGCTTAACCCCGGGTTATCATATTTAGTTTACAACGTTTAGGGAAAAATCTAAATGTCAAACAGCGACAAAAAAAGTTAAATAAAAAACTGTATCCTGGTCTAAAAATGTACATATAGTAATTAATCGGTCGTGCAGGAGTGGGACAAGCTGTTATTTAAACAGTTCATCCAATCAGTGATATTGATGCCGTAAATATGCAAATAGGAAAGTTAACCCAGGGTTAAACGCTCTAAAACCTGAATGGCCAGGAATAATTCCTAACCTAGGGCAAAGAATAAACTGTACAAAACTTAAAAAAAAATGATAACCCAGGTTTCCTATAAACCGGAGTTAAAAAGGTTAAATGTGAGAAACCCTATTTTAGCACAACTTTAGTTCTGTTCTACAGATTTCGTAAAGACTACAGTACTATGTATTAATCAGCAGAGGCTGGGCCACTAATGATTATCTATTCGTAACCATTGAAGCAGAACTTCACTCTACGCTCTAGTATTGTTAGCTCTGTTTATTTTTCCAAACACTGGCCCTGGGTACTGAGGCCTTAATGAAGTGAGTTCATGTAAATGGAGGGGGTTGAGTTCTGATGTTTGTCTATAATGTTTTTTAGCTGCCTAGATGAATGACTATATCACTAAACATACATTTAAAAGGAAGTGTGCTCAACAGCCTAGATATCACATCACAGACTGGTAGTTTTACAATGCAGTGTGAGAACAGCTACCTACGATATTTCCTCTCTGAATCTAGTTACTTTAGTTACCATCAATGATTTTTACAGTATACATTAATTTGAAAGTGTTAAAATGTGAAAAACAAAAGGCGCAGATGTGTGCACTCGTGAGTTTCTTTACAGTGGACATATTATATTCACAAGAGGTTATAATAGTCTAGCTAGAGAAACGTGAGCATGCTGTGACATGCGTCCTAATTCCCACTCAAGGGAAACTAAAAGGTACATAAATGGAGAAGTGTCATTCAGTCAGTGGTAGAATTGTTGTTCGTGAGCCAATAAACACATAAAAACAGGAGTGAATGTGATGAATGGAGATTCTTACTTCTGTATGTCAGTAATAAGCCACCACGCCCAGGCCCAGCCGCCCACTGTATATTGCTTGTCATCAGAGCCACAGCAGCCACCTGAGAAAATTAACACAGGTATATTTAGAACAAATACACATTTATCCCACAAACGCACATGCGTTTTATGTAGTCATTTGTAACATTCTAGCTTGGCATATCTTTTCATTCTAAAAATCTAAATCATTCAGCCCATTTCACAAGCTGTCAGTCAATCACCACTTTCACCACCAACAAATTTTATAAATCCCATACAAGCCTCACCAAACTGGTTTACAAACTGAACAACAACAACAACTTCATTAAAACCACTTAATGATGAATATCACTGGAAAGCTCCAACTCAGTCTAACCAAACCACTATGCTGGGTAAATGTTTACAGAAATCAGCTCAAGTCAATAATCAACCAAGACTAGTTGCTCCAAAAAGAACATTTTGTGCACCAGTGCATGGATGGTGCATATCAACAAGGATGTACCAAAAGAAAGAGTATGTAAATTGCTTGCTGAGGAGGGTACTCGGACGTCCACACACCCTGTCTGCGTGCACCGCAAGGACAGTGCGTGTACAATACTGAATGTGCGATTGACTTGAGCCAGCACTTGAAAACAAAATCCACTAGTAGTGCACACGCGCCGAGTGCATCTTTCCGTGCTCAAGGCCAAAAGATTATATTTTGAAAGGCTTGCACACTGTGCCCGAGACGGAGCGGAATACAGAAAATGAAGTAGCCTATACCAGGGCCTTTCGTTTTTTTGTTTACAACCTGTTTTGTTCAGAATGTTTGTTGTAGCCAATCCTAGACATTTGTAACCTGGCCCTAGCCAGATGAATGTCGTTCCGCTTAGCTTCGCCTAGCTTCACTCACATCAATCTGGAACCCCTTCCATTGAGTGATTTCTCCAACCAACTTTATGGCTTAGCCAATCAGGACGCAGGGCGGGAGTTTCATAGATGTGACGTAGTGGAAAAGCGACCGTGAGACTGTTTTGATTCAGACAACAATGGCGGCTCGCATCGAGGAAGCAAGCGTTAACATTGATGCTGCTATTTCATCCGTGTTGTCCAATCCTAATATTGTTTCATTTAATATTTCCTAATATTTCGGTTGCGTCGCTCTCATCAGCGTCACGGGTTGGCTTCGGTGTGATTGGTTGAAATAGCACGTCGATAAAGATGACAGACAAGTGGCTTATGCAATCATATGCAAGGATTTTTGATATTGGCCCAGCCTTCTGAAACGCCATTTCAATGGATTGGTTCCAGATGGATGAGTGGAGCTAGGCGGAGCGAAATTCATCTGGCTAGGGCCAGGTTAAGACATTTGTTGATGAGTGCAGGTATAGCCAATCAGATGAGTTTAAGTGTGTTCAGCAACAGTTCTGCATGTGAATTAAAACCAACAAATTATAAACATGATATCAATGAGATTCATTTCACATCAGAGAGAGCTTTATTGATTATAACTGAGTTTTCGCAGCTTTGTGTACCTTGGGTTAAAATGGACAGCTTCAGTGATTATAATGGCAGCGATTATAATGGCAGCGATTTTGCTCACTTTCTGTATATAATATATATTTTCATGCTTCTAACTACAAATTACAGAGTTTCTGGATTGACGGCCGTATTTAAATACACAATTATATCCGATTGTAAGTGATAACCAGCAATGGACAATCTGATACTGTATGTCAAATGATTTGTGTATTAAGTCCTAGAGTGTAAATGCAAAATAATAAACTTGTCTTTGTTGTTTAATTTATTATAGCTTTCAAATAAGTCACACAGTAATCCTCATGCTTTAAATTGGCCCTATCACTCCCTCTCTCCACCAATGTGTGTTAAGAGCACTGGTGCCGTTGTTCTGTGGCTGCCGTTGCATCATCCCAGTGGATGCTGCACACTGGTGATGGGTAAGGAGAGACCCCTGACATGATTGTAAAGTGCTTTAAAGAGCTACATAAATGCTAAATTGGATTTTTACACATCAATTTACTGATTTATAAGCATAAAATAGTTCTAAGCACTTTGTTTTATGATCTGTCCTGACAGTGGTTATTTTTTATTTCATGAATAAACAGAATAAGTTCATATTACCAACTATTCATTTGCATCTATTTTGCATTTATTGTCAGTGCCGGGCTTGGTGTGGATGGTTGTGTTCGTCCGCCACCACAAAAGACAATTTCTGACCCAGTGAAAACCCTAAATAATATGGAAAAGATATTTTTAAAGAGAAAAATCTTTAGGCCAATCATCTGTGCAAATATAGTTATCATTGGCTCAATCATGACGGGTCACCAGTGGTTCAGGCAGGGAGATAATCTAGGATCTATTACATTCAGCTGTTATAGTAACCAGGACATGTTGCCTAAAGGTTAAGTATCAATCTGGGATCCTAATGTAGTGTTTAGCATGTTATGTAGACAGTGGGGGCCTGTAAACTTTCGATATGTGAGGAAATTCCTCACAAATCTATGTATACTGTAGGTCTGCTCCCAGACTGGAAACTACTTCAGCAGATTCCCTGCTGGTCATTAGCTATTAGTGTGCAATCCTCAGCTGTTGCTAGAATCATTGCACAACTGAAGTCTCTGTCATGTGACTTTATTTCATAAACATGAGCAATTAGAAATAATGTTTAGGCAAGTTACGGAGAGAGGAAATGACTTTTCAGGAAAGTGTACAGTTAAAGAAAAATATAGTTTGCTGACAAACCTGAAACCACTTAACTAACTAATTTTATTATGATTAATTGGATATGTTTTATACTATAACATCAAAAGTGAAAAGTAACCCCTCCCCCCATAATTTTAATGGGAAATGTTTATAACTAACTACTAGATAGTAACGTACTTAATGTATCGGCCTATTGTTCTAGAAGCAGGAACAGGCTGAATAAATGTACAGTAAGCAGCATTTTTTTCGCAAAATAAATAGTGATGACATTAAAAATCGCCACAACAGCGAGAAAACATAATACGTAAAAATTACGTAAAGAAGTCATACAAAATACGATAGGGTATACTGCCGAGGCACAAATGCACAGCCAAAAATCACAATTCGTAAGTCGTGTGTTTAATCTAAACAAATAAATCGATATTTAAGACCAAGAGGACTATCAGAGAACAGCGTGATCATTGCCCAAGCACGTCGAAATCAAATAGAACGGAGCACGGGTGAGACGCAACACGTCAACACTGAGATGTCTTTTATCATGCGCAACACAAACTACAATGCAACAAGCAAACACGAATATCTACACTCAACCCGACAGAAACGCTGGCGAAAATAAGCGTTAATTACTATTACAGTGTCGAATATCATAAATTTACGATCATCAAACACGTGCCACGTTAGGTACAATTCGGATGAATATATAATACAGTCAGATTATAAGAAAATGTATGGGGCATTGCTTTGAGAAGAAAAGAAGACAGTTTATATGTTACCTGATACCACCAAGGCTTCGTTTGGTCCTACCGTGTGGCAATTCCCCATTGTTCCTGCCTGGCGCCTTTAAAAAGCTTTTCAGAGTGTAAAATTGCTTCTTCTATCGAGGATGACGGAATAGCGCGATAAAAACAGTCAGATATGAAGGCACTCAGTGTAGTCTTGTGTTGTGTACATCATATTCAAGATTTCTGCCTGCATGCAGTAGTCACGCCCTTTTCGAGATATGACGACGACTACTTTACAAAGTAAATCTGGGTTATTCCTCAACCTTCCGGTAGAGGGCGCCATAACATTTTAAATGAACCTAAACTCCATAGAAACATGTTTATGCAAGAACGTCCAATATATATATATATATATATATATATATATATATATATATATATATATATATATATATATATATATATATATATATATATATCAGAGCCCGTCTAACGGAGAGCCTTGGCACTTCCTATTAGCCCCGTTGTGTATCATCCTAGTTGCAGTTCCATTAGAATTCCACTGGAGGTGATCGCGGGCGAGAGCAGAATGAATGGGAGTCTATGGGGCTAAACGGCTAAAAGTGTCTCTTTCACCTGCTTGTCGTTAAATTAACATAGATTTTATTGTTGATTACGCAAGTTCAATATACATTATAGGCCAAAAGTCGAATGAACGAGTACTTATGTCCTTTTGATTTCTTACAGGTTAGGCTGTTGTTGGCTGGAACAAGCTAGCATTCTGCTGTTGTGTGACGTCATCACATTTTTGAACTGATTTTTACAACAGATAAGTGAACTTAAAAATGCAATTTTCAGCTGAGTGTATTATCTTAGCCCTCCCTTTTGAATGCAACTTTCAAATTATTTGACAAAAAATTACATCTCGAGAAAAGTGGATTTATGGGGGTGAAACCCCATTGACTCCCATTCATTCTTCACTCGACCGCGAGCGCCCCCGCATGGACAGAGACCAGTTACTGCAGCCAGTCCAGAACCCGGAAGTGACCAGCCAGTGCCAATACTCTTCAATTAGACATTCTCTGTATATATATATATATATATATATATATATATATATATATATATATATATATATATATATATATATATATTTTATTTTTTTTAAATTTTGAAAGGGTTCGGCTTTGAAATTTAATTTAAATTCAAAAATTTAACGTTTAGGCCTACAACTGTTGTCCTTCAGCACCAGACAGGTCAGAGACAGTACAGATAGGCAACTTTGGACTGGAGTCCTTTGGAGTCAAATTTGCCTTGAATATTTTTGGACATTTACGGACCTTATTCCAGTAGCATATTGTATGATAGCAATGATGAGAGACAACAAATATTTTGTTAATATAAATATAAAAGGCGTCACATTACATTTTCTACCAATGAATGAAGCTAACTTTACCGAAGCTAACGTGTGTCTTTTTTTTCCATAGTCTTACGTTATAATCAAATAGTAACGTTACTCCGTCATGCCTGAGTGTTTTGTATACCAGACTGCACACATACGCACAACGGATCTGGCTCGTTGTTTTGGTTCCCGGGTAACTTAGCTAGTTCATTGAGCGATTTTCACTGTAACTAAATGTTACTCTTCTGTATTATGACATACAGCGATTTTCTTGACTTTCAGAGTTATCTTTTAAATGGACAAACATCGCATGTGTAATTCGTGGCACAGTTCAGATGGAATAATTGACTACCATACATAATTTTTTTTTCGAAATAAGGTCCCATGGCATTAGCCGGAAGCGGAGGGGAGGGGGTCAAGGTCGGCTTTTACACCACCAAACATAAAAATATAAAATTGGTTACGTTTTTTGCCGCTATGCACATATGCTCATAGCTTTCTTTTACTGGCTCATAGTCAAAATCGACCACCATTCACTATCCCTACATTACTCCAGATTACTCAGATTCTGATGCTGTGTAATGATTTCCTATAGAAGGTATGCGCGTGACGTCACCGTCGGCCCAGAGTGCCTTCAGTTCCTCACAGTGAGTGGCAAAAAAACTGAGCGGCTGTATAAACTTGATCCCAGATCAAAGTAAAACTTATGTTGTTCATGAACATGTTTTTTTTCCAATGTTTTTTGGGCTGCCATAGACTTCAATACGAAGAAGAAGAAGAAGAAGAAGAAGAAGAAGAAGAACAACAACAACAACGATTTCAACAGATGCCTACTATAGGGCCCCTGAAAATTAGTACAACAATATGTATGTGCATGTATATTCATACACAATCAAGTCAGTCTCAGTCTCAGTCAGACTCAAAACACATACTGTCAGTATTTGTCCAGATGATTCACAAATCACAACCAATGAAAAGCTCTATCACAGGCTGTACTTGAGAGCAATAAAAGGAGATACGAGTCAGTGCAAGAACAATTCATTCACCTAAAAGATTCATTGAAAGCAGATATGTTCATGACCAACAAACAGAGCAGTTCCTATTAATGCTGGCCTTGATAGACGCCACTGCATTCATAAGGGGAATATATACACCTTATATAACTGTGAATGATGATGATAATGGTGATAGAGAATCATATAGTACATGTAACATAGAGCTTATGCTGCTCTAATTGACTTACTGCAGATATCTAGTGTTGTTTACATTTAAATGAGCAACAGCATTCTAAGGCCATAACAACAGAAGTTGACATTTGAAATCAACACAACTGTCCCTGCAGCCTTGAAGTCTGATCATACGTGCTACAGGATCTTCACAACTCTTCAAATCAGTAAGCTTCTTCGATTTGTCTATTTTGGGAATTTGCTCTTTGGTCATCAGCATGCGTCGCTCAAGAAGAACCAGGACTCGTCCCACACACCTGAGGGGATTTTTCGTGGAGGGTGTCTCTTCAGTTCAAGATCTTTCACAGCTGGCAGCTGTAGTCAAGTTGGATCACAGTTACAGCCGCACCTCTGTGGAAGTTCAAGGACCCAACGGATTAGAAGAGCGTTACCTCCAGAACGCTGCTGTCCTTCCAGACGTCCATCCAGCAGCCTCGGTCTCTTCAGTGGACGCGTGTCAGCAGGAAGAGCCAGTCTCCATCCATGGATTCAGTGTGCAGGGCTACCAGGACATGTACCGCTCTGTGGTGGAGCCCATGAGGATGACACGCTCTGGTCGGCACCTTCCCTACAGCCTTGAGCTGGGACTGGAGATTAAGGATCGGCTGTGGAAAACCCTCAACTGCCCATCACTGGTGGAGACGGAGCAGCCTGACGGACGTGTGCTGGTCACAGAGAGCTTCTCCACACCCACCAGAAGAAGCTTCGCTCCACGAATCGATGTGGACATCAGTGAAGAGCCCCTTCCTGAGGAACCCAGAAGAAAGAAGCCCAGACACTGAGTGGTCAGTGTCCCATGGAAGCGGGACCTTTGCATGTAAATATTTTGTATATAGTTGTAGAGTAAGTTTTATAGTTTGAAGAGTATGTTTTTTTTTGAATATGTTTATGCACACTGCTGAGATTGTTTGGATGCTTTTGGTGATTTTGGCTCCTCCTAAGTTGTTTTTAGTGTTTTTTATGCATTGCTACATGGTTGTCACAGTGTTTGGGGTGGTGTCGACGTGGTTGCCAAGGTTTTCTGAGAGGTTGTTAGCTTGTTGCTGTGCGGTTGCTGAACTTTCAGAGTGGTTTTTCATGCATTGATACGTGGTTGACGGGATGTTTTGAAGTGGTTGGCACTTGGCTTATATGTGGTTGACGGGATGTTTCGAAGTGGTTGGCACTTGGCTTATACGTGGTTGACGGGAAGTTTCGAAGTGGTTGGCACTTGGTTTATACGTGGTTGACAGGAAGTTTTGCGTGATTAGTTGATTTGCGGTTTCCTTTATCCTGTTAGGTTAGGGTAGGTTAGGTTAGGGTCCCTCACACGGTTTGATGGGATGTTTTGCGTGATTGGTTGATTTGCGGTTTCCTTTGTCCGGTTAGGGTAGGTTAGGTTAGGGTCCCTCACACGGTTTGCAGCTTGACGTGCTGTGAGGGCTTGTGTGCATCAGTGATGCTGAGAGCTACACCGCTGGTACTTCACAACTACTGGTAGGGTCACCCATAGTGGACAGGTCTCAGCTGAGGTGCCAGACGAAGACAAACCACCTTCTGGACAGGAGAGGATCGGCCTGATGTTCTTGGCAGAAGATCACAGTCTTATGGCAGTGGCAACAACAGAATTACCAGTATGGAAGAAACTTTAAATTGATTACGTGCAAGTCATCGATGGATCGATCAACACAAGAAGCAAGTAGAAGCAACTGTTGGAACAGCATGAGGAAACACAGAATGGTTTAATAGGCTATTGGTAAAGGCTGCATTCTTTCTTCAGCACTTGTAACAGCGTCCAGTGGAGATGCACAATTAATCTTTAAAAGATCGCAATCTCGACTCAAACACTCATGTGACCTCATTTCTAAATGACAGCGACTCGGCTGTGTCTATTAAACCATTGACAAATACGATCACATTCAGATCTGTTCACAAGCTGTCTGTGGCTGAGCCAGAGAAAGCAGTTGGGTAGGTATGAAACAGTCTTTTCATCTACACAGTCTCATTATTTCTATTACAAATATTCAAATAGTCACAGAAGTACTTGGACAAAAGTTTATAGTTCGGATATAAATACTGATGTCTAAAACTTAAAAAAGATATCACAGTTTCTGTATAATATATATATATATATATATATATATATAAAAATGTAATAATAATAATAAAAATAAATAAATAAATAAATAAAGTTGTCCTCCGAAGAGGGGGGGTGGAGGTGGGAGAAAAACAAAAAAACAAAAAAAGAACCTCTGGTAAAGTACATTTTATTTTGTTTAGTTGTCTATTCAGAATCATAGGAGTAATCGTGATTTCTATTTGAAACAAAAAAAATTGTGAATCTCAATTTATCCATAATCGCGCAGCTCTATCGTCCAGCCAATCAAATGTTATACTTTATCGTTTCTTAAATGCTTCTATGTGCGCGCGAGGTGAACATTAAAATGAATCACTTCTGAAATTGTTTCTAAATTCAGGCAGTAGGCACACGATCATGTTACCAGAGAAGTAAAAGTTATTTTAATATTTATTAACAGGCATCCCAGTAATCTAAAATTCATAAAACAGAGCTTAATAAAGCAAGTGAAATCGGTGGGTTCGCTACATGTCTATCACGTAAATACCATTAATTATAGAACATTTACATTTAGCAGACGCTTTTC